TGATATTTTCAAATAATTCTGAAGAGATTATTGAATTTGAAATACAGATTCTCAATAACCCTTCTGTGAACTGCTGAAGGGGAGATAAACTTCTTGCAGTTCTCATTCCATGATGGTTCCACCCTTCACTCCATATCTTATGTGTAAAGCATACAAATCAATGTTATTCATCGGATCAAGCAAACCACAATCTTCAAGGTGGTAAAAGAGTGAGTAATACAGCGACAGGACCCCAGTATAAACGTCACTCCAAAGTCTTTCTATGCGCTGGTTGTGGGTGCTACTGCCAGTTATAACACTCCCTTTTCCAGTACCTCTGCAAGGGTGTTCAAGCATATATCTAGCTACATCAACATTCTCTCCTCCTTTATCTATTCAAACCCTTGAGGGAAGACCAAACATTGCAACAGCATCTTCGAATAACCTCTTTACTGTTACAGCTTTTTTGTTATTGGAACACTGTAGGCATACAATCAATCTAGAATAGCCATCCATTGCACCATGGACCATTAACCTCCAGCTAACAAGTGGTGAAAAATTTTAAAAATTTTCCTAAATTGTGCTGGGACCATTTACTCAATTCATGTTGCAAATGTTCTCACATTTTTTCTAAATATGGGTTGAGACAACATACCGTATTAGCTTATGGTTGCCCTTCAGGTGCCAAAGTGCAAGAGGGGAATGTACATTGTAGCTACGTCTATGGATTGTGGCAAACCATCTTAATGATGAGCCTACAGGATCACACCTTTTTAAGCTTTCTTAACTCTTTTTTCTCTGACAAAAATACTTGCACTCTTTAGGAAACTGCCTATTAAGTTCAGTTACAATTCCATCCAACTCTCTGTCTGTTAGTTCTGAGAACTGTATACCAGTTAGACAATACTCAGTCATTTGTCTGCTGATTATACGAGTTAAATGCCTAGCATATGTGATATCTGGGTCTTATTGAAATGTAGCAATAATAAGAACTCCAATTGTTCTCTAGGTAGAATTAACCTCGGTCTACCCATTGACTCTGGTTGATTTTCAAATGGTAAACACCTTCTTAGCAAAGCTAAAATTTCTTCGAAATGATTTATGGTGTTATTTGGAATGAAGCCATTTTCACTTAGACTAGATTCAGAATGGAACAGTGAAAATCTTCTGTGCATGAAAGTAAATGTTGAATATCTTCACCACACAAGTCATCTTTGTTTGCTGCATTTATAAAAGCATACCGGAGTTGGCTTAATTCATGTAAAACAGTTTCAGGCAAATTCATTTTCGTACTTTGTTGCTTTTGGTTGATTTGGCATTAACCGTGGTATGTGCTTTGTTTAGCCCTAAATAAAGTGCAAAATTTTACATCCGGGCTAGTTTTCAAGACATACTGCAAAGTCAATGACTCAATGGCACGCTTTTATCTCCTCATTTTTATTCAAACAAACTTGAAAGTCTTAACAATCCCATGGGCATTCTCGCCTTTTGAAATTCATTTTTTACTAAAATCCATAAAAAATTTCTATCGGTATTTAAGCTATAGAATGCATTTCCCTGGTGAGGTATATTAGCCGTCTTTGTAGCAAGAGATAATAACATTATCCATCCAATCTTTGGCTTTCGTTGCACTTCACAACATACAGTACATGTGATAAATCAATGCAGTATTTTCATTTGAGTGAATGTTTCTTATATTAATATGCTAGCTCACCTTTGATACAGCATAAAATACTGTTAGCGTAATCCCGCAAAATTTCCTTTGGATTAAAAGAAGCGATTTATAGTGGAGTGTATAAAGAAAGAGGCAGTATATAAGACGTAATAGAGTGTACAAAACAATGTTTACCGTTAGCCAGTGTATATTGATGCTGACCAAACATAGTCGAGTGTCGCGGGCCTTGGATCAAATCAAAGGTGTACCTTGTCAATTCAAAGGTGCACATGGTCACAAACTAGAGATAATAATTTAACCTCTGTGACTTTGTAAAATCAAAGTCAAACCTTGTAAAATCAAAGTCGCATCGCCTTTGCGATGAATGTATTTCAATTTAAATGTGCTATATGATCAAATTAAACGTGCAGCGTCATTATATCAAATGGATGCCTGATCGTTTCAAGCGCAAAACATCGATTTGTCCAACATACCACGCCATATGTGGCAGGCTGCTCCCCCCTTGTCAAATTAGATGGATGATGTGCAAATCAACATTCATTTTTTATTTAAACCATACAAAATTCTTGTACAACAGTCTCAATGTATATAACTAACGTCTCTCAATAATCTCTTCAATGCCATTTCACAATCCTTTGTTAATGACTTGTAATGTTCCATCGCTTGCTTGGATTAAGTTATCTTCATTACATTCATGACAAAATTTCTTCAATAACGTGCCTCGCTCAAATGCATGGTTTATGGTATCCACACCATGCATTTCCCAACCTTCCTCCATCATCATCAAACACTCATGTCTTCTCTGAACCATATGATCCACCTTACACCCACAGCATTTTTCCGTACGCAATCTTTTTATTTCCTCCAAGACGTTTTTCATAAGTACTGCAACAAATAAATTACATAGCTTTTTTATCTCCGATGGAACTACCTCATCCACCTCACTTCTTAATAATTTACTTGACCAAGGAATTTCCTTGCACCATTCAATCAAAAAAGACCTAAAAACCACTTTAAATACCTACGCGTATGTATGCAAACATACAAAAATATTTAAAAACAGTATACATTAACACCTAAAAACTTTTTGTCATCTAGCAGTGTAATTCATTTACTATGCCTAGCTTTTGATTCTGCAATTGTTTACAAATTATGTTCCATTTAAAGACAGGTTACAGCGGCTTCTGCACGTGCGCCAGCCTGGGGACTCCACCGGAAGTTGATAATCCCCCGGATTGTTCAGTTTGTTTACTTCTCGCTATTCTCAGAGGAGCGAAAAAAAAGCGAACTGTGTTAAGCGCACAATATTCAATCTTTCAAGAGCACTGAGTCATGTCGTCGAGTAGAAAAGAATATTATGCTAGTAGAGATGCCTCTAAAGTGTATTTGTTGGGTTCTTTCCCTCGATGGAGAGCGTTTAAGGAGCAGCATAAATTGAGAACAGACAAGGATGTGGTGGATATGCTTCTTGACAGCTATCTTGCAACGAATCGTATAGTTTGGAAAGTATAAAATGATAAAACCTTTTTTATGTATGTGTTTAACTCATTTTAGCAATGCAAAGACGCAAACCGAAACAGTAATCGAATCAACTGATTTTCCTCTAAGTACACCTTCCAAATATCTTTCTTCTCCCAGTAAGAACATATGTTTTTAAAGTGCTCCAAAAACGTAAACATTTATTATTTTTTAAAACATTCGCATAAAACATTCGAATGAAATATTTTATAGTTAAAACCTCAACGCCAAGCGCGCACTCAAATCCGCGTCCATTGTCTGCTTTGTCGGATGGAACATCATATTCTATCAGGTAATTTGAAACTTATTGTGATTACTGAGTTTATAATTTGAAACCCATACATGCAAAGTTTCGCGCAGAGAGTATTACTTTTTAAATACGCAATATGTGTTTATATCTCAGGTCGGGTCAGAGTGTGATTTCTGACAGTCGAACATTGACAGCCAAAGATGATAGTTCTGATGAGGAAAGTGATGATTATAGTGACAATTTTGGTGAACACACTATCCAGGCAGACCAAGTTTTGTCGGACGATTCTCTTGAGTAAGTGATGATGCAAAACCTCAATAATAATCTTTGTGACGTTACTACTGTAATGCTTATTGATTTAAAACATAAATATACACATTATATATCACTGAATATGGCATAAAATATTTGATGTGCCATTGCTGGATGACTTGCTCAATGTGACAATCCATGGACATGATGGAGATGAGCCCACAGAAGATGTTGGAAACCAAAAACAACAACAGCAGCAACATAAGACGACTCAACCAGAATACATCTCTACTGTGGAAGAAGTCAGTCCTGAAGATGCAATCAAAAAAGTGTATTGTGTTTACAGACACTCTTATGGCTTTGATAACATGTGGCTGTGTGTTGAGCTATAAAAAAACATATGTTGGAACATGCCTGGTCGTATCCTGGGGGTGTAGGTCTGGTCATGTTGGAGGCAGATGGGCAGCTCAACCCTCTTGCAACAAGATTAGAGCAGGCAACCTTGTGCTTGCTTCTGCTTTGTTGTTGTCTGGCAATTCCAAGGTGGGGTTGATGTTCAACCTCTATAATCTGCAGTATTTCTCATCAACATTATTCAATCAGTATCAGAAGTTGTACATCATCCCTGCCATTAATGACTACTGGGAATAACACAAACAGAAATGTTGGAAAGAAAGAGAGAACAAAGAGGTTATATTGAGTGGTGATGGAAGGAATGACTCACCTGGCCATAGTGCACAATATTGTACTTACAGCTTGGCTGATACAAATGATCGTGCCATACTGCAAATGAATGTGGTTGATGTGAGAGAAGCTGCTGGCAAGAGCAATAATATGGAGAGGATTGGGTTTGAAAGAGGGATGGACACACTGCTTGCATCACCAATAGTTATGAAGGAGGTGGTAACTGATGGTCATATTGAAATTGCTGCATTGTTGAGTAAGTATCTACATTATAACAATATCACAATTCCTGAAACTCTGATTGTTCAACCTGTTATAATCAATATTGTCAGACTTTCAATAATCTAACAACTTCATTTGCAGATTGATTACAATGTTATATAATTAATTGTGTTTACCCTTTAAAAGACAGTAAGGGAATATTTACAACATGCATTTGTTTATTAATTAAGCATTATTGCATTTTTTAGGAAGGGAAGAGAAATATAAGGAGGTCACACATCAGAATGATGTGTGGCATGGAGCAAAGAACGTTGCAAAGAAGATCACTACTGTAAGTGTTGAAGATATCAACCAGCAATTAGTTAAAAAACTCTCTTTATTTAGAATTGATTTTATTCTTTAGGCTGCTAAATCTAAAGACAATGTAGATTTGACCTTGTGGGCACCATCAATAAGGAACCATTTTTGGTATTGTTCAAAAACATGTGCTAATGACTCAAAAAATCTCAAAGTAAGATTCACATTGAAGTACTACTGGTTTATGCAGCAATACTTTTCTAGTTTGTGCAAACTGTACATACATGTGTTAATATGTAGTCACTTTATGTTGTATTTTTTTTTTTTTTTAAATAGGATAAGTGGATTGGTATTTTACACCATGTTGTTGATGAGCATGAGTGGGTGTTGGAGGAAGGTGTAAATGGTGGAAAATGTGAACATGATCCTCTTAATGAAAGTGAGAGAAAGAAGCCATGGCTTAAGAAAGAGTCTTCTGCCCATAAAGCACTGGCAAAGATCATTCTCGACACTCGCTTTTTAAACACTTTGGTGTATTATGTTAACTTCAGGTAACAAATGAGATTGGATATTTGAAAATTTCAGATAAGTTATATCATCTCAAAGTTTGAAATTTGTTTTAGGAACACAGGATTTTTAGAGTCCTTTCATAATGTAATTTTGATGTATGCTCCAAAGCGCCATGCCTATTCGTAAGTATATGACATATTATTACAAAGGTAACAGCTAATAAAACTCCTATCATGGTTGATTTCCATGCAAGGAAGCATTGTTAATAAAAGAATGTTGATGTTTGTTGTATCTTCAGATACTCAGTCTACCAAGCTAGAAACCACCTTGCTGCCTTGGACTTTAACCACCACAGAGGCCGAGCACCAGCAACTACAGCTGATGGGAAAGAAAGGTACTGGTATTGAAATTTTTGCCTTAGTATTCCCATCCTAAGTGTGAACAACTTTTCAGGTCCTGTGCATTCTTATAGTGTAATGGTACTCATATTGTATTGAATTGTAAAGTTGTTTTTTTATTAGGTACGGTCGGAAGTTCAGTAAGCGTACACAACAGTGGTGCTGTGTTTGTGTTCTTGTATCAAAAGAATTTAGTTATATTCCTGAACTGATGCAGAAGGTTTTTATAAAGAGGATCACATCAGAAGGGAATGTAAACAAAAGACTTGGTATTCCAAGTGATGATCCTAGACAAATTGCACCCAATATTGCCCCTGTTCCTCCTCCATCAGTACAGACACTTGTCGACACACATAAAACAAGATTTTAATGGTTGTGTGTAAAATCAAGTTACTTTGGGTAGGTGGAGCTCATTAGCCATGGTAGGCAGTTCACCTAAAAGAAGGAAAACACTAATTTCAAACCCCCAAACCCTAGGTCAGGCTGTCCATGTCGGAATCATTGATGTTGTCATTTCATTTGTGTTTCCTAGGCATGCTGATGAGCTCTGATATAGAGCAAAACAGCCATAAATTTAAGAGCCCATTTTCAATGAAATATGACACATAATATCTTAAATGGAATGTTTTATTAAATTATTATGATATATGTATAGGGTGTCCCAAAAAAGTAAACACTTTGAAATTGGAAAATTAGCATTTAGGTTGATGCTAATCATGCACATGGACAATTACAACAACTAAATCAGCATTACAATGTATGAAGACTAAAATGAAAAATTTACCCAGCTATATATTTTATTACCTTGCTGGCTCAGCCCAATTCTAAAAATGTTCACTTGCATTGTATAAATATAATATAATATAATAATATACTTTATGTTCTTGAGCATTAATATTTTTTGGGCCTGCTATAACATCAGACCAAAAACATATTTATGCCCACAAACATTGATTGTGGTTTATTTTGGTCTACATTTTGGGGGCAACTATTTATACTTTAAGTGCTAAATTATCTAAACACGTGCAGGCAAATATCCCCTGTACTGTCCATTAGGTGAAGGATAACGGTTACGAATAGCAACCACACAACAGCTTGGTACTACTCTCCTATTTTCCCTTCCTAATCTACCATGTTGCCATAGAACATACTGTCTATATGCAGCATGGCGGAAGTTTTCATTGTTCCTGACATTGTTCAACACCAAAACATCTTCTCTGTATCGCATCGAGATCTCCAAAACATTCCCATCAAGGATTAGTTGACTGAAAAGGTTTGTTCTTGAGATACATGGACGCCTTGATCGGGTGCAGCATTTGTTCTCTTCTTGAGTGGGCATAATAATGCAGCACCCACACTTGCACCAATCTGGAGCATCATTATCAGGTTCTGGGTTTGGTGGTTGGGGGGTTCATTTCCGCTCACAAGCTCACCATTAACAATGTCAGCAAATGCTGCTGGCTGTCTTCTTAGCAATTCAAGAGCAAGCTTTCTCAGGTTGTCTATATTCCTTGCCTCAACTAGATCCTGAAATCAGCATAAGAGTAAAATATAAGATATGCTGCATATGGTATTATGTTTTATTGTTTTTACACAAAGGCTTTCAAAAATAATTGTATGAAATCAAGTGTTGACAAAGGCTCATCTTACCACTAAGATGCTGCTCATGATCTGCTTAATTTTCAGCAATATTTGGCTATTCTACCAAATGCCCCCTGCCTCTCCCGCGACCTCTACCACAACCTCTTCCACGACCTGTTCCACTACTTCCCCTTCCACATTCCTGTGAAGAAGTACCTTGCCCTCTTCCCTGACCTCTTGCTCTCCCCCTTGGTCGACCTCTTCCCCTACCACGTCCTCTCTTTTCGATCTGCAGCTGCTGCTTGCCCTCATTCTCACTTTCCTCTATAGTGAACTCAGAGTCCTAGATAATTGCAAATCACAAAGTGAACAAAGTGGAAAAATATTTCCACAATGAAACCAGCCCTCTTGGCTCTCTCCCACCCATATATTTAAAGAATGACATAATTTTACTTACCCTCTCATCACTATTGCTTTCTTGAACAAGTCGGTTGTTCATGCAACAGCCAAAGTCTTCGCCATGACACGCGCTCGAACACAAGCTATTGATGCTTCTGCACAGACAGAAATTCCGTCCTTTTTCACGAAGACAGTGCCCTCTACATTTGCACACTGTGATTTTGTCACGGTTAGGCATAGCCACTGCGTTTTCCAAAACATTAGCTTCGAAATCTTCAAGCGAAAAGCTTCCTTCAATTGCTCCTGCCATGACTGTGACCACCCTGGTATGAATGAGTTTTCGACAGCGGAAAGATACCCCACAGTATATTTCATTATTAAAGACATTACTAACACTTCCAAGGCTATCAAGTCCCAAATATAAACAAACCAAAAGCGAACCGATTATAATTCACGCCTTTGTATGACAACTTCGGCCGCCGCTCCAGCTGTTAATCTACGATTTCAAAGCGGCTTTTCATCCACTGTTGTAAAGTGTTTCCGTAAAATGTTGTATTTGCTTATTTTCGGTTTTTTCTATAGTTTTTTCCGCAAATATATTTTTTAAAGAAGCATCACTCCTCTCTTTTTTTGTTATTAAATCATTGCAAATATATGATATACTTCATGTTGTAGAATCATTACAGATCAAAACAAAAAATGTAAACAAAGCTCGCACATGCGCAGAAGCCGCTGTAACCTGTCTTTAAATTACATTCCATTTATGGGGTATCCTACATTTATTAATATTATGATGTCTCAAATTTGAAGCCCTGCTACAACATACTGTAGATTGTAGTAATGGGAGAAATTCCCACCTAGCGTATGAATGATAAAATTTGCATTGGCTTATTTTTCTATCTTTAAAGATTTCAAGTTTGGATACAGAACTGCAGGAAATTCTTGTGCAGGATGATGTCATGACTGAGTTGGATGCAATTAGATACAGGCAGATTCCTATTAGGGAAACTGAGAAGAACAAAAATTCCTTGTTAAGGTATATTGTGTTCCAATTTTTTCTGAAGGTAATTTGTACATAAACAAAGAATACAGCAGAAGAGGCTCCCTGAAGAATAAAGTAAGATTGTCTTTTTAGAACTAATTGTAAATATTCTAATTCTCAATAATTGTAAATATTCTAATTTTCAATAATTGTAAATATTCTAGTTTCAGTTTGTAAAGCACATTTGATCATATCAATGCATGTTAATTTGCGCTATATAAGTAATAAATTATTATTATTATTATTATTATTATTATTATTACAGCAATCCTTAACTTTTCTCATCTCACTGTAATGTTTAGATGTATTTGTATAAAGGATGCTATAGCACAAAGGATACCAATGTTGAAAGAGATAGAAGAAGGCCTGCAGCTGTACAGTTTCTTAGGTGAAATTCAGAAACATCCACTTTTGTTTGAGCCCTCTCCACCTATTCATCCTGTTTTGATATGACAACAGAGCCTTTTATCATGAAGGTATCTAGCATGTTATTGTTAATTTCTAGCATGTTATATATTTTTTCAATTTGAATTACTCTGGAAGAGTTAATATTTTCAGAGTTCCAAAAAGAGTTCAACTTTCCTTCAGTAGGATTTGACGTTACGTCACTGAGTCAAATGGCAACCAGCATAAAGGAATATTTGTTTTTTTGGTACATGCATGTGATCAATTAGGGTGTTCAACTTTGAACCTTCCTCACAAACCTCATTCAAAGCAAACCTTCCTCCGGGTGTTACCTGCGTACCCGCAGCTTTTTTGCAACCCTGCATATTTTATTCAAAACCACTTTCTCAATCTGGTTACTGTTAACACCCCCTACCCCCCTTCAGAAGATATTGTAATGACCAGCCAAAGGAACAATTGTACCACTTGTTCCTACTACTGTGCAACCTCTGGACCTGCACATGTCGAGCATAATTTAAAGGTAGTACTATCTGTAAGTACTGTTCTTATCTCCATGTAGGGTCTAAGTGAGGCTCCAGAGCAGTATTTGAAACATTTGTTAAAGTTCATCACTGGCAGTGAAACCATCCCACCAATTGGGTTTCCAATCGACCTGAATGTGCAATTTAAACATGGTTGTCTATAGGATGTAAATGTAGGCCAACTTTGTGTCGAGCATAATTTAAAGGTAGTACTATCTGTAAGTACTGTTCTTATCTCCATGTAGGGTTTAAGTGAGGCTCCAGAGCAGCATTTAAAACATTTGTTAAGGTTCATCACTGGCAGTGAAACCATCCCACCAATTAATTGGGTTTCCAATCGACCTGAATGTGCAATTTAAACATGGTTCTCCATAGGCTGTAAATGTAGGCCAACTTCGTCAACATGTACATTGGTACTTCCATTGCTCACTCATTCATGCACATCAGAAGAGCTTGGCGACCTGTGCAAAAAACGCTATATTTAATCAGTATATGCCATCTAGTTCCACCTCTGTATTTATTATTTATTCTGTGTCTGAGTTGTTTTCTTCTTAAATCTCTTGCACAGCTCGAAAAGGTTTTCTAAAAGGCTAATTCCATAGTCTTTGTCATCAAGTAATGGATATATTTGCTTATTAAGAAACATTTCGTTATCTTCAGAAAGTTCCACAGGAGACTTTGGCATGACTACATGGTTATTGGTCTGTACTTGTGGTATAGGCCCATTGTCACCAATGCCATATTCATTAAAGTTGACAGCTTCTTGATACAGAACATCTCTCACTGCTTGGTAGTCAGATTTAGCGAACTGGTAAAATCCAACAGTCCATAGTTGCAATGGACTCTTATTGCCTTCAGCTCAGATGGGATAATTATTCCACTGTGTGATA